TATTTAAGCACTTTAAGCCTTTTACTGATAAAACTGGTAGTTAAAATTGTCCATTTTATTTTTAGAATCCCAACCATGTGCATCAGCAACTGCAGGCCATCATTTAAGGGATTTTTTTTTCTATTCTCCTCATCTCTACCCAATAACCTTCATGTCCTGGTATAATTAATTACCAATGTTTCCAGAGAACATTTTGGTATGCTTGATCAGCTCAAAGTTTTTTAATTTATCAGAGAATCTATTTAAACAAGATGCCAAGGTTTTTTTCCGAATTTCAAATCACAAGTTACTATTTAAACAATCATTAAGCACAAGTTTACTTAGTCTACCTGAAAAATAATTTCAAATAAAGCAGCCATGCCTATCAGTGCCTTGAGGTGCTCTGGAAGAGATTTTTCCATTTTTAACTTTTTTTTCTGCTCAATCACTGAAACAGATTTGCAGAGGTTTAAGTTTACACCTTGTTTTAACCTCACTGGTGTGTCTCAGTGACAGTATCAGCTCTGGCAGCAATATTCAATATTCATATGCCAGTCCAGCTTCTAATGTAGCACAACTATGTCAGTAAAATGGAAGTGGGTCTCTGTGACAGAACTGCTATAGGCGTATTTATACAAATACAACCTCCCCCATAGAAGCAGAACTTCCTCACTTTAGATAAAAGGTAGCAAAAACCCTGAGAAAACCAGAGTCCTGACCCTTAAAGGTGTTGTTGGCCTTCCAACTGGGTCCAAATAAGCGAAACTCCCATTTCATGAGGGCTTTTACAACCTCAGATGGAAATCAATAGGGGCAGGGCGAGCAAGGACATGCAGAAACACCATTCCTGTGCTGAAAACTAACTCTGACTACAGCAGAGCTGACTTACAAGCAGGCAGTGCTTTCCCCTTCTGCATTATCAGACAGCAGTTACAACTCACCCAGGGATGAAGCCCTGCTTGGAAAAGGTTACGAACCATCAAACAAAGCGAGTATTAGCCAAGAACAAAAGGGAAGGCTTACAAGTAATTACTTCTTCCGTGTAACAGCCTGGTGACTTTTTAATCCTTCTTCTGGCATCATATGCTCCTGCAGCACTTCATCTGAACCCAAACAGGCATCTGTTAAGCACATCACTGGCTCCAATGTGACAGACCAGCTCAAATTCCTACAACCCAGTGAGTTTCATTGGATGGGAAACACTGAATTCTGATCTGTATTATTATTTCTTGGATTCCAGTGTAAGAGGAATTTTCTTTGGGGGTGTTTCACGTGGAGCTGGAGCCCTGGGTGCTGCATTCACTGGAACAGTCACAAAAGCTTAATATTTTTAAGCCGTTCTTTTATGAGTTTGGTTTGAGACGACTTTCTTTTGGACTGGGAATTAAGGGTTTAGATTGTGGGTGGGAGATTACTGGCCAGTGGCCGTGTGTCTTCACTGCCTGATGTTTGATGAGCCCCTGAGCCTTCAAGGCAACCATCTGCCTGTCCCCTCGGCCAGAAGGCTCCGAGCCAGAGAAAGTCAGTGAGGAGCAGAAGACATCTGCCCATGCAAACAAGGAGTAATGTGAGAAGCTTTCTCTGCACCTTGTATGGCCCTCAAAGGCACGTTTGGAATTACTCCTTCCAGGATACAAACCAGAGGAAAAGTGGTAAACAGATTTCTGTCCCTCTGTGTTCTCCTGTTACCCCAGCACAGCTGAAGCCTCCACCAGGAGTTCTGTAACTTTTAAGGCAG